TCGATCTGCGTCAGTTGTTTATACTATACGTTATATGGTACGAGGTTGATGTTCGCACTCAACGAAGGCAATGTTTTTTTAGAAGGCGTTCACCGCGCAACTATTTTGTTTATTTCTGCATATTAAACAAACATAATACATTTTCAATATAGAATTATACCTAAATTATAAAATTTATATAAAATTAAAAATAATTTTAAATTGCACAACCAAACGAAAATTTTAGGTGAAACGGGGCGTCACTTGCGTCACCTGGCGAGCCGCCACTGGAGTAACATAGAGGCTTTTGTAGAAAGAGATCAATATTACAATTTGCGAAAACTAGTTGAATAAAATGTTTCTCACTCAAAGATTTTCCGATTGGCTTCTTTAATTACACAGGCCGACAAAATTTGACCGACCCTCTATCCCAGAAATCAGAATGTACTTTTCCGAAGGATTTTGATGCGCTGAATTCAAATCCGAGTTCCAAATTTTTCAATTGGCTCTGCGCTTAAAAAAAAATTCTCGATTTTCTGTCTTTATTAGGCCTTGCGAGTATGTTGTTAAAATTGACATTGTGACTGAATCACCCTGTACACATAATATAGTCTTGCAGTGCCTAATGCTGATCCCTCCCAAAGCGACATTTTCCGTATTTTTTTATATATAAGGGCGCTTTTCCAAGATTTGGCAGATTGTAATACTTACATTTCTTCTATGTTTAAATCCAGATTCGTTGACATCACAGTATGTTAGGTGACTTTTTCCTCGGAAACAATTAATATTATCAACTTCGAACAAGAGACGGATTTTTTGTCAGTTTTTTCTTCTTCTTGTTTGACGTAAATTTTTTAAAAAATCACAAATAAATTGGTAATCATCAATTGAGTGATCAATTTAATGGCTAGACCCTTCTATCTATTTAGAATTAAACGTAAATATTTTCCAATGAAGTTCTTATAAACATCGCTGTTAAGCTCTATCATGGGTGGATATAAATCGGAATTTTAAAATTCAAAAAAATTCCGTTACAACCCTGTGTTTTAAAGGATATAGGAAATTTACGATTTGTTGTGTGTACTGAACATGAGACAGAAAAAGATCTGAAATTTAAAATTTGCTGTACGTTTATCTCATAAACGAGGCACATACAGCGGGATCAGTTAAGACTACGGAACAGCAATATCTCGGACACCAATAGTTTTGCGATTTTGAGTTAAAAAAATCTGTCCAACAAATATGGACAAAGAAAGTTGATTTAAAGCACTACTAAGTTCCTCACTGCATTGCTAGGACGCATTTGCCACGGTATTACAAAAAATCAATATTTCCAAATATCTCGCATTCAACTCTTTAATTTAGAAAAACGTATTAAATGAAAACAAAAACATCAGATGAATTTTATAGCTTTTAGTATTCATTATTCATTCAGAACAAGTAATGTTTTTCTATGTTTATTTGAATACCTATTTTGCTAACAGTGAAAAAATTAAAAAATATTGTTACGAAAACCCCAATGGGACGACCATGGGCGACCCATGGTCGAACCGAAGCGAAGCGAACCGAACCGCCGAGAATTGTTTAGAAGCATTCTTAGATTTAACGCGGCGCGTCTAGATTGTTCGTTGAGGGTATAACCGAACCGCCGAGAATTGTTTGGAAGCATTCTTAGATTTAACGCGGCGCGTCTAGATTTTTCGTTGAGGGTATAAATTAATTTGCTTGTTTTGTATAGAGTAGTATTAGTACTAGTATTGGTAAAGCGTTCGGAGTGTTTGGAAGTATTAGTAAAGCGGTTGCAAAGTGTAGTATTGTGCAGTATAGTGATAATCGTAATTAATTGGTGTAATTAGTTAATAAATAGTTAATTATTAAGAAGTGTATTAATTAATCGAACCCAGGGTTTTGTCACCACGTAAATTCCGTGACAATTGGTGTCAGAAGTGGGATACCTGGATTGGACAGGACATTTTCTCGGACATTCCAGAAAATTCAGTACCCGGAAGTGACTGTAAACGTGTTCAAAAGTGAAAGAATTAATCGGCTTGGACAGTGCGTTACCAGTAGTGACTGTTTACGCAAAAAAAAATAACTGGATTTGTGGATCTTCGCGAAAGTTCAAGAAAGTTCTATTCTGAAACTAATAGAGATAGACAATTTCCGACTTCACCGTTGTGTTTGTCGTGTCGAAATAAATCCAAGACCTCATTTTCGTAGAAGTTCTAGAAAGTTCTATTCGGAAATATAGAGATACACAACTTTCGACCTCGCCGCTGCATTATACACCTACAGAGAAACCCAGAACAGCAGATTTTTTTCAAGTTTTGAAGAAAATTTGAAAAAAAAATGGCTAAATCTAGACAAGCTGCCGAGATGGAAGAACAAATCAAATTATTTATGAGTAATTTCATGGCTACGTGGGAGGAAAAACGGCAAGAAAATGAAGCTAAAAGACATAAAGAGAAACAAGAAGAAGAGGCTAAAAGACAGAAAGAGAAACAACAAGAAGAAACTAGAAGACAAATGGAAAAACGAGAAGAACAAGAACGGGTACAGAAAATTATTGAAGAACAAAATACTATAGAACAGGCTCGAATAGAGAAAATACTTGAGGACCAGGAGATACGAAGCCGTAGAATTTTCGATAAGATAGAAAACTTCACTGCAGAAGTTATGTCAGTGCGTAATGAAGTGATGGAGGTTAAGGGAAACATCCAGGAAGTAAAAGGACGAGTTAGTGATGCCCAAGATAAGGTGGAAAGATTAGAGACGGAAGTTAAAGGCCAAATTGTAAGACTGGAAACCGAGATGTCTAGGTTAAAGAGACAAAGCCAAATAGAGAGACCAGTGGCAGCAGGTTCACTTATCAAACCGCCGACGTACGATGGCACTAGATCCTGGACCATGTGCAGAAGACAATTCGACGCTGCTGCAGATGCCAATGGTTGGGACAACCAAGAAAAGGCCACCGCTTTGGTGATATCTCTTCGGGGTGCTGCTCTCGAACTGTAACAAACAACGTTGGATCAACAGAGGGATTACAGTGCTTTAACTGATGCACTCGACTTGCGTTATGGGGAACAGCACAGAAGACAATTATACCAGGTCCAAGCGAGAACAAGGACTAAAAAATCTGGAGAGAGCCTTCAAGAATTCAAGACCGAGGTTAGACGCTTAATACATCTAGCATATCCAGAGGCGCCAGAAGAATTCAAGGAACAACTGGCTATACAAAATTTCATCGATGGTCTCAGAGATGCTGAGATACAAAGAAGTCTGCGACTAGGAGGATTTAAAAAGAGTAGTGAAGCTCTCGTTCGTGCACTGGAAATGGAGACCACCTACAACATATCGAGGCCAAGGATCCGAGCTGTTACTGTGGAAGATTCCCATCCGAATACTGCAAGGATAAACAATCCCGAATCCGATCACGTTACCGCACTGTTAGAAAAAGTTTTGGGGAAATTGGATTCCATGCAGAGAGGGAGACAACGAAGTCCAAGTAGGAGGAATGAGTGCTTTCGATGTTGACGGACCGGTCATTGGAAGAGGGACTGTCGAGTGCAATTGCCATCTCGCTCACCATCCAGGGACAGGAAACCCGGCGTGTCTAACCAGGGAAACGCAAATTAGTCAGCATTACGGGGCGAATGCCGACTAACCCAAGCGTAGCCCCCAGGACTCTTTCCGTGAGACGATTCGCCAGAGACTCGGGTAGCTTGGTGGTGGAAGGAACAGTCAATGGCAAAAAGACAGTAATTACTTTTGATACTGGAGCTGCAGTATCCGTGATGAGACCCAGTAATGTCAACTCCAAACTACAACCTTTGGTAAAAAGTCTCAGTTTACGTTCTGTGACTGGGGAGGTTACTCCTGTTATGGGTGAAGTAGAGGTAGAGCTACAGCTAGGATGTAAGCGACTGCGCCATAGAATCTTAGTAGCGGAGATCGAGGATGACTTTATTTTGGGGATGGATTTGATACGTCAGCACGGATTTGCCTTTGACCATGAACACAACATCTTGAAGTTTGGTAATGAAGAATTTGTTCTATCCCACCCCAAAGAAACATCGAACAGGATACTGGCAACGAGAACCGTAAGAATTCCTGGGAATTCAGAGAAGATCATTTTTGGAAAACTGGAAAATAATCCTGGGAGCTGTGTTGGATTCGTACAGCAATCGGATTGGAACGAAAAATATCTAATCGCGAAATCGTTAGTCACATCAAAGAATGACGTACCTATCAGGATAGCCAATAATTCCCCGAACCCTGTCAGAATAAACGAGGGTGATACGATAGCAACCTACGAGCCTGTTAGTCATATCGTAAGATATGAAGAACCCACAGGAGTGAAGGAAGAAAAGAATACCAATTTGGAAAATTATCTCGTCGAATTTCAGAAATCCTGGCAACACCTTTCACAAAGGGAACTGCAGGAAGCAAGGAAATTTTTGACAAGAGGAAGCGACATATTTGAAGGAAGAGACGGAACCACAGGTAGAACAAGCGTCATAGAACACCGAATTAACACTGGTCAAGCCCAACCTATTCGTCAGCCACCAAGAAGACTGCCATTGGTAAAGCAACAGGAAGTAAAACAACTCGTCGATAAGATGTTGGAAGGAGGAGTGATCGAGCCCTCATCAAGTCCTTGGTCGGCCTCCGTTGTATTGGTAACCAAAAAGGACGGTTCCACCAGATTTTGCGTCGACTACAGAAAATTAAATGACGTGACAAAAAAGGATAGTTACCCGCTTCCTAAAATAGATGACACACTAACCACCCTTTCGGGATCGAAATGGTTTTCGACGCTTGATCTGAAAAGCGGATATTGGCAAGTTGGCATTCATGAAGACGACAAGGAAAAGACTGCTTTTTCCACTGGTGAAGGCTTGTATCGATATACAGTTATGCCATTTGGACTATGCAATGCTCCTGCCACCTTTGAAAGACTTATGAAAATCGTCTTGAGAGGTCTTACTTAGAGAACCTGTCTTGTCTACCTAGATGATATCATGGTTATGGGAAGAACATTCGAGGAACACCTCTCCAATCTGAAGGAAGTCTTCTACAGAATTAGGAATGCACATCTGCAAATAAATCCGAAAAAGTGTTTCCTGTTCCAGAAGCGAGTTGAGTTCGTGGGGCATGTCGTTTCTTCAGAAGGCATCCAAACCGACGAGCGGAAAATTCAAGCTATTAGAGACTGGCCTAAGCCAAAGGACAAACATGAACTTAGAAGCTTCCTTGGCTTGTGTACATACTACCGGAGGTTTGTCGAAGGATTTGCCAATATTGCAGCCCCACTTCATAGACTGACAGAAGATAAAACAGCATACACTTGGAACTCGGCATGCGACAATACATTCAGGAAACTTAAAGCAGCCCTTTGCTCCATCCCGGTATTGAGTTACCCTAAAACACGGAAAGTTTGTTCTGGATATAGATGCTAGTAACATCGGAATCGGTGCAGTTTTGTCACAAGTGCAGGAAGGAGAAGAACGTGTCATCGAATATTTCAGTCGAGTTCTTTCCTAACCCGAGAGAAATTATTGTATAACGAGAAAGGAACTACTGGGTATTGTCAAAGCCGTGGACCACTTTCATAAGTATTTGTATGGGCAAGAATTTGTCATTAGGACTGACCATACCGCCCTTAAGTGGCTCTTGAGTATGAAGACTCCAGAAGGTCAAATAGCAAGATGGTTGGAAAAGCTACAACAATATAACTTCAAAATTCAACATCGATCGGGACGACTACATAAGAATGCAGACGCTCTGTCAAGAAGACCCTGTCAACAAGACTGCAGACATTGTACGAAGATCGAACAACACGGCATACCAACCATTTGTCGTGTCGGGGTAGTAGCAGATGAAGAATGGACAACGGAACAGTGAAGGGCAGACCAACTGGAGGACCCGGATATTGGGTCTTACTTACAAAGCACTATGGGCCCAATGGAAGTCTCTTCGAGCAGAAGACGGTCTACTCAAGAGAATATGGGAAAGTGCTAACGGAAAGGAGACCAGATCGCAATTATTCGTGCCAAAGAAGAGAAACCCTAAAATTCTCGAAGAAATTCACAACGGCAAATCTGGCGCACACTTTGGAGTAAATAAAACACTGGACAAGATCCGCGAGGCTTAATGGCTTATTGTGTAAATTGCTATGAAGATGTTAAGGCTTGGTGCCGCAGGTGTGATACGTGTGCGGCCAGTAAAGGACCTAGGACGCGTGCTAGGGGAGAGATGAGGAAATATAATGTGGGACTTCCATTCGAGAGAATTGCCATCGACGTAGCTGGTCCATTTCCTGTANACATTGTACGAAGATCGAAGGCATACCAACCATTTGTCGTGTCGGGGTAGTAGCAGATGAAGAATGGACAACGGAACAGTGAAGGGCAGACCAACTAGAGGACCCGGATATTGGACCAATTTTACACCTCAAGGAAGAAAATGAAGACCGACCCACTTGGGCAGAAATATCGGACAAGGGACTTACTTACAAAGCACTATGGGCCCAATGGAAGTCTCTTCGAGTAGAAGACGGTCTACTCAAGAGAATATGGGAAAGTGCTAACGGAAAGGAGACCAGATCGCAATTATTCGTGCCAAAGAAGAGAATCCCTAAAATTCTCGAAGAAATTCACAATGGCAAATCTGGCGCACACTTTGGAGTAAATAAAACACTGGACAAGATCCGCGAGAGGTTTTATTGGGTAAATTGCTATGAAGATGTTAAGGCTTGGTGCCGCAGGTGTGATACGTGTGCGGCCAGTAAAGGACCTAGGACGCGTGCTAGGGGAGAGATGAGGAAATATAATGTGGGACTTCCATTCGAGAGAATTGCCATCGACGTAGCTGGTCCATTTCCTGTAACCGACAAGGGCAACAAATACATCTTAGTTGCCAGGGACTACTTTAGCAAGTGGCCAGAAGCTTTCGCCATCCCCAACCAGGAGGTGTCCACCGTGGCAAGGAAGCTGGTGGACAATGTGTTTACCAGATTTGGTATTCTTTTGGAATTACATTCTGACCAGGGCCGCAACTTCGAGTCTAAAGTATTCCAGAAGGTTTGCGGAATGATGGGCATCAACAAGACTAGAACGACACCATTACATCCCCAATCAGATGGGATGGTAGAAAGATTTAACAGAACCATGGAAGAGCACCTGTCGAAAGTCGTGGATTCACATCAGCGAGACTGGGATGAACACCTTCCCCTCTTCTTGATGGCATATAGATCAGCTGTCCACGACACCACCAACTTGACACCGGCGAGGATTATTTTCGGCAAAGAATTAAGACTCCCCTGCGATTTGGTATTTGGAACGCCTAACAGAGCAAATAGAGAGGTACACGATTACGCTGACCAACTGCGAAAAAGGTTACTGGAAGTTCACGACGTGGTTAGGGAGCGAATCAATATAGCGACCGACAGGATGAAGACACAATATGACCTTAGAGCAAACTCCGCAGGATTCCAGGAATGTGACAGAGTTTGGCTCTATAATCCGCAAAGGAAAAAGGGGATATCACCGAAATTGACACCATCATGGGAGGGACCATATACAGTGATCAAGAGGATTAATGATTTGGTGTACAGGATCCAGCGCAGCCCCAAAAGCAAGATGAAGGTAGTTCACTTGAATCGGTTGATGGCGTACCATGGTGACGAAGAGTCTGATCGGGACGATCAGAATTAGGAGGGGGGTGATGTTACGAAAACCCCAATGGGACGACCATGGGCGACCCATGGTCGAACCGAAGCGAAGTGAACCGAACCGCCGAGAATTGTTTGGAAGCATTCTTAGATTTAACGCGGCGCGTCTAGATTGTTCGTTGAGGGTATAACCGAACCGCCGAGAATTGTTTGGAAGCATTCTTAGATTTAACGCGGCGCGTCTAGATTTTTCGTTGAGGGTACAAATTAATTTGCTTGTTTTGTATAAAGTAGTATTAGTACTAGTATTGGTAAAGCGTTCGGAGTGTTTGGAAGTATTAGTAAAGCGGTGGCAAAGTGAAGTATTGTGCAGTATAGTGATAATCGTAATTAGTTGGTGTAATTAGTTAATAAATAGTCAATTATCAAGAAGAATTAATTAATCGAACCCAGGGTTTTGTCACCACGTAAATTCCGTGACAATATCCAAATATACCCTTTGTTGATTGACTTTGAGGATACGGGAAAGATTCATAAAATAAACAAACTTGTGTATATATAGACTGTATTTCTAGAGTTTTTTAACTAACAGAGCATATGACAATATTAGCGGTATTTCTGCCACCTGTCATCTCCCTTCACCCGCCTACTCATCACGAGATCGTAGGATTGTCTATTTAACATGCCGGCCCCGTTGAAATGTTCACATTTCAAAAAAGGAACTTAACTTATAAGTAACAACAATTGATCATTTTAAAGCTAAAATTTGCATTATACAACAGTAAACAATTAATTACTGACTGTTAAGTAAAACTGAAAGTTTATTAAATAAAGAGAAATAGTCCGCTCAATTTTAGTCACTCGGCAAAATGCAGATACGCATGACAGCACGTTTCACCACACCGGTATTAGTCTTCACAGACACTACCCGCACTTCACCGTCAGGCCCAGGAAACAGCTGTATAATTCGCTCCAATCTCCATCGCTGAGGAGGAAGGTTGTCCTTCTTTAGTAGGGCTAACGATCCCAATAACGTTTCCCGCTGGGAACTGAACTTCCATTTGGTCATTGCTTGGAGGGTGTGGAATTACTCTCTTGACCACCTTTTCCAAAAGTGTTGAGTGATTTGTTGTAGGTGGTGAAATCTATTTAAGCGAGTAGAAGCTTGACGCAGCATATTTTCTTGAGGTAAGGTTGTCAAAGCACGACCAATCAGAAAATGTCCAGACGTTACTGCCTCAAGGTCAGAAGGGTCTTGGGATAAGGATGTCAGAGGGCGCGAATTTAGGATACCCTCAATTTGAGTTAGTAACGTGTGAAATTCCTCGTATGTGAAATGTACGTTATTTGCGACGCGCTTAATATGATGCTTCACAAAATGCGGGGATCTGGTTGGGATGAAATGCCATTCTACTTGATTTTCAGCTAAAAATGATCGAAAAACTTTGTCTTTATTTAATTGACAAATTCGCCGAAACTCATTACTCGCACCTGCATAATTAGTGGCGTTATCAGAATATAAGTGTTTACACAATCCTCGCCTCGCCACAAAGCGCTTAAACGCGTACAGAAAATGATTTGTAGATAGATCACCAACAGGCTCTAAATGAATAGCCTTGGTGGCTAGGCAAATAAAAATGCAAAAATAAGTTTTTACAAGCTTTCTATTCCTTAATTTGCCGTCCTTGACCAGAAACGGTATCGCAAAATCAGTCAGTTGACACTTACGCCTGCAACCAAAATTCTGTGACGAACTTAGAACTGCGGACGTGCAGATCGTGCTTTATGTCGGTGGCTCGTGTCTCCAACGGATTGTAGCTCGAACTATTCTTCGTAAAACTGCAATATCCGTCTCGAAAGACCAAATTTTGTTGATTGACTTTGAGAATACGGGAAAGATCCAGTAAAAATTTCAACTATGTTTCCAATCCAAACCCCAAAATCCAGCACCGAGCACCAAGCCCGATTTCCAATATAAGAAATCAAAGCACAAGCAGTAAATTGCATAAGGTTTCTAATTCTGAAGCCGAAGCCGCTGTCAGAAGAGAAAGTAAAAATTTCAACTATGTTTCCAATCCAAACCCCAAAATCCAGCACCGAGCTCCAAGCCCGATTTCCAATATAAGAAATCAAAGCACAAGCATTCAATTGCATAATGTTTCCAATTCCGAAGCCGCTGTCAGAAGAGAAAGTAAAAATTTCAACTATGTTTCCAATCCAAACCCCAAAATCCAGTACCAAGCTCTAAGTCCGGTTTCTCGCATAGAAAACCGAATTCGAAGTATTAAATTCCATAATGTTTCCATTCTCGAAGACGATATCACCGCCAGGGTAGAAGAGGAGAAATCGACAAGGTTTCGAATCTAGCCGCCATCCAGCCGCCTCGAGTCCAGATGAAGCAGTATCCACGGAAACAAACAAAACCGACTATGTTTCAGATTTCCCGCATCGCAGAGCCGCAGTTGAGCCGAGCCAAGCCGAATTGCAGAAATCGCCGATGTTTCCAATCCACCTGCGAGACGCCGCAAATCGTCGAAAAAGCGCCCCCTGGTGATGGAGACGAGATGGACCACATCGAGGACNACAGAGCATATGACAATATTAGCGGTATTTCTGTCACCTGTCATCTCCCTTCACCCGCCTACTCATCACGAGATTGTAGGATTGCGTATTTAACACCCTTGCTCCAAAGGAACCAGTCAGCCTAACAAAAAATTTTACTAAAAGATTGTGGAATAAATTAGCATCACTATATTACGTATTCATTAATGTTGGGAAAGCTAATACATTTCTTTTTCAAACAGGTTTAAAAATTTAAATTGTATTTATTTGTTTTTGTTATTGAGTTATTACATACTTCTTCTTTAAATATTTGAAGGAAAAACGACATTCGT